AAATAGATGGCTGTGTCTACAGCTCCGGTAACCGGACGTAGTTTGCAATGCTAGAGCTCCGGCAGTCCGTTTTTCTCCGTAAAACAGCTTGTGCGCATGCGCAATAGTGCAAAATGGAACTTAGTCTTTTTATCAAGAAACACTAAACCCTAGCCCCAAAACCCTACGATCCCGGTAGCTAAGATGTACGAGAGGGTGCTCTAAAAACTAAACACTAAACCCCAATCCCAACCCTACGACCCCGGAGGCTAAGATGTACGAGAGGGTGCTATTTCTTGACCCAAAAAAAGAAAAAATTGCAAAAAAAAGATATTTTTAAAAAAGAAAAAGAATCAAAAACTGCAGCATAGTTTTACTCGGTAGTCCTGACCGGATTCGAACCCCTAACCATATCCGTGCAATCCACACCAGCCTCTCCACTGCACCACCACGACCCTGCTGCATCATCAACGCTGGTTGTTGTATTTATACTCGGTTTCTATAATATAAATCAGTGTATTATTAATACTGGGGCGTAGCCCCAGTATATAGGGGCAACGCCCCTATTACCGGAGCTCTAGCACTGCATACTATGTCCGGTTACCAGAGCTCTAGACACTTCCTAAATAGATATGCTGAAGGAATATCAACTGTACTGATGACAAGTGAAATTAATACTAGTCTTGACACAAGTCCTTGTTCAAAGAGCTGTGAGCTGAGAGTGTTCATCTTCCCTGCAATCCTGTAGCTATTCCTGTTCTTCCAGGCTGTTATCAAATTCATATTATCATTGCATTATTATAACATTAATTAATTGTTTGTTTTTTAATAAAATAATTCATTACACACTTGATAAAACAATAATAAGCAAGATTAATACCTTCCCTTAGCTGGAAACCTCCACTAAGCATGGCAATTGATTCCAAGCATAGCTAGCCTAGCTAGGTATAAAAAATTGCTTGCCTTTCCCAGTTCTGAGACCTGAGCATGTGCAACCACACCCAAATTTTGGAGCACATGCTTTTTTTAATTAAAAAATGGTGGCATGCACCTAAGATGGTACCAGGGGCGTAGCTGGGAAGGAAATGATGAGAGGGCGTAGAAATGAGTGGCGTGCAAAGTGCGCCGAAAATTTGGACATGCCCCTTTTTAGCGCTCGTATTCTTGGTTTTCACGATAATTATTCATGGTTTTAATTGAGGATATGAATCATCATTGCATCACGTTGACAAGTGCCACACCCCATTG